CTATTTTCAATTATTTTGCTTTAGTTCTTTGGTCAATTTTTCATATTTTTTGTCATCTTTTTCTTTTTCGATTTTTCATTCTCTCCATTCTCACTCTTGGCGAAGAAGGAGAAGGAGAGACTTAGAAATGGAGGTATTACATTTTTAGAGAAGAAGAGAAATTGAAATTAGAGAAAGTGATTTGATTTCCGAGATGGTGCATAATTTGGTGATAAAATTTCACATTTGACTACAAATTTGGAGGTAACTTTTCATTTCAATGAAAATAAAGAATCAATATCTCATCAAAAAAAAAATTAAACCCATAAACTAAAAGGAAAGCCTAGCCAGCAGCTGCGCAGCTCTCATGGCAGCTATGGCCACTGGACGACCTCCTTTCGAGGTTGTCCAGCCCGCCCCACCACCCCAAACCACCACATACGCCACCTTTTTTAATTTCAATACTATAAATCCTAAACAATCTGCTCTAATTAACTAAAAAACAATCGCAAAATCAATCGAAATAATTCATGGAGAACCTACTATCAAGTTTTCAATGGAGGAAAGACAAGACTTTATGATTGAAGAGAGATTGCATCAAGCAGTGATGTTTAAATTATCCCATGGTGCGCCAGATTTGAAGGTATTAAGGTCAATTTTACCGAAACATCTTGGTACCAAGGGCAATTGTTTAATTGGCTTACTTGTCCCAAGACAAATTTTGTTGAGATTTGATCAATATGAAGATTATGTACTAGCTTTATCTCGTTCAGTTAATTATTTTTTCTACAATGGAGAGGAGCACTAATGTAGAGTTTTTCCATGGTCCATTGGATATAATCCTAAGGAGGAAACGACATTAGCTGTGGTTTGGATTTCTTTACCGAACTTATCTCCAAATTTGTTTGTAAAGAAGTCTCTGTTGTCTATAACATCGGTAGTTGGGAAATCAATAGTTATAGATAAAGTTACTCAAATCAAATCAAGACCTAGCACAGATAGGGTCAAGGTTATACTTGATCTAATGGAAAAACTTCCAAATCGTATAAGATTGCAGTTTGTGGATGGAAAATCTGGTAAGTTAATCGAGGTTTTTCAGGAGATTGTATATGATAATCTACCTTTGTATTGCAATTATTGTAAGCACCAAGGTCATGATGAAGATAGTTGTCGTTTTATCTCGAAAAGAAATCAAAATAACAAATAAATTGATGATACTAGTTGCTTCAAAAGGTACTATCGATAGTGAAAAGTATCAAGGTGATGCAAGAGAAACACTAAATGAAAAAGAAAGGTTGTAGATGTCGATCAAAGTAAAGCTACTTCTTTAGATCGACAGTTGGTTGCTGTCACTTCTGAGTAAAATCGTGCACACTCAATGGATATTGTTACAAGTAATATTGGTGTTCAAACAACTACCGAAAACAAAGGGAAAACACCAAGAATTGGGGTTGATGCGCCGCGAGTTGGTTCAGGCAAAAAAATAATGAATTCAGGACACAAACTAATGGATACTTCTGATGTTGAAGATGTTGAAAATTCTGGGCAGCATATTTTGCAAGTTGAAACCAAGAATGCAACTAAAAATTGGACATTGGTTGCACACAAAAATTCAACTAGTAATCGGAGCCTTTCCCCGACTAATCAAAATAGTTCTCCATGTAGTGAAAAGGGTGCGATTGGAAATTTTCATGACGGTGAGAAGAGGCAAGATATTAGTAATGCCTCAAGAGACCTATTATGTTCGAATAACTTTGATGTTTTATCGATGACTACTGGAAAGCAAGTAAAGTTAATAGAGAATGACAACGATTTGATCCAAGAAAAACAGGTCTCACCACCTACTTTGAATAGCAAATTAAGTCCAGAAGATCCCATATTTGTGCCTAAATGTGTGATTGCAAAGAAGAATGAGTCAAGGGCCTTAGTGTCAAATACAATTGATTTGGGCGAGAATTCTCTTGAGGAAGACAATATGCTTGATTTGGGTGAGGATTCTCTTGATGAAGATGAGGAAGATATGTTGGACATATGCTTTGATAGAGTGTCTAAGGAAGGAAATATATCACCTAGGCAACAAAGAAGTGGAAGTAACAAAAACAAAAAGAAGACACATGGAAGGCAATATAGTTGGGACGGTAAAATGACTGAGGAGTTTGTTCCAAAGCACCTACCGATGCGACAGGCAAAGCAGAACCATTTGATGATATCAATAGGTTCAACAAGATACAATAAATCCATAAAGAAAGTATGAATTATCAAGTGTTGTTGGATAGGTTTGAAGAAAAAGACAAGAGAAAAATACTTCAAGTTACTTTTGATAGGCAATCAATCTTTTTTCATTCATGAGTTTGTAATAGAAAGTTTAAGGCTGATAACTCAACTTTCTTCTTGATTGGCATATTTTTACATTATTTAAGCATTCTCATTTGTAATATCATCATGGAGTGTATTACAAACTCTGTGGTGATCAAAAAATATTTAGTTCTCTCTAACTCTTATTTTCTTCATGCTTGTTAGGTAGTAGACGTTAGGTACTTCATTAGGATTAGTAAAGTAATGCCTAGCCCCTCTTGCTTGCACTTATCCCTATTAATATTTTTATGTTTAATAAAAGGCCACTAGACACTGTCTAGTGGTAAATTTGCGAGGAAAAAAAAGAAAAAGGAATTTACCATTGGAATGAAAAATTACCTAGCATTGAAAATCGTACTACACTATTGAGCCCTATTCACCGGTAAATAAACATGTGTCCTACCTCCTCTAATTTTCAATTATTTTGCTTTAGTTCGTTGGTCAGTTTTTCATATTTTCCGTCATCTTTTTCTTTTCTCACTCTTGGCGAAGAAGGAGAAGAAGAGACTTAGAAATGGAGGTGTTATATTTTCATAAAGGGAGAGCAAATTGATGGAAAATTAGAGGAGTAGTTTGACTTTCAAGATGATGCATCAATTTGGTGATAAAACTTCACATTTGACTACAAATTTGGAGGTAATTTTTCATTCCAATGGTAAATTTCTTTTGACTTTAATAAATAAGGAATTAATATCTCATAAAAAAATAATTAAACCCAGAAATTGAAAGGGGAGCCTAGAAATTTACCATTGGAAAGAAAAATTACCTCCATTTTTTAAAGTCAAATGTGAAGTTTCATCACTAAATTGATGCACCAGCTCGGGAGTCAAATCACTATTGTTTAATTTTCCATCAATTTGATCTCCCCTCCGAAAATGTAACACCTTCATTTCTAAGTCTCTTCTTTTCCTTTTCCGCCAAGAGTGAGAATGGAGAGAATGAAAAATAGAAAAGAAAAAGATAGACGAAAAATATGAAAATCTGACTAAAGAACTAAAGCAAAATAATTGAAAATAATAAGAGGTAAAACACATTTATTTACCAGTGAATAGGGCACAATAGTGTGGTACGATTTTTGATGTTATTCGTACAACTTTGTAGAGCTGTGTTGGTACTTCACCTTGTATATTATATATAATTGTAAAATAGTATGTTGTAAAGCTTATATTGCCATATTCTTTTGCACAATTAACTTAGATGCTTAACTTTGCCATTGCCAGTCAAAACTTGGAAGCATTATAGGTAGGCTTGAAATGCTGCAAAGATGTATGTTAATATATTAGACGACGTTTGAATGGTTTGTGAATAGGACCTCTGAATTCCTCCATTTTTTTTAGTTTGGTATTGGGCTGGTACTCAGATGCAATAGACAACGTTATGAATTAACTTGATATTTTATGTTAGACTTCAGATGGTTCTTATGAATATTTCCTTAATAACTCATATACTACAATTTTGTTCTTTTAGTGGGTAGAACTAATTTTGCACTTGTAGGATTCTTTGATTAGAAATTTATAGTTCCCACGATAATGGATAATTCCTATTCGTATACGCCTTTGTTGATGTAAAAGAAAGACCGTTTCTTTTCTCATATGAAAGGTGTTTTTTGGTCTAAACTTGGATATTTATTCAACATACTTTTGCCTCAATAGAATTGTGATGTATTGATAATGTTTGTAATTGTGTATCTTATGCATCTATTGCTTTAAAGTGTACAATGTTGGACCCGTGCTCGAGCATGAGCCATACCCTTCTAGTAATAGGATATGACAATAATAGAGGTGTAAAAAACCATAGATACTAACCAAACTCAAAGGATAAAAAACTATAAGAGTAATACCACCAATAATAGTATGACTAACAATATAGAAAAATAAGCAAGAGAATGCTCAACTATCTAACTAACTTTCCACCCTTAATTATATGTGTTCTTCATAACCATCTAAGATCATCTTCTTGGTAAGCTAAAGTTATCTAACACTAAGTACCAATAAAACGTTTTTCGGAAAATGATTACAAATTAAACAGGGACGACCAAATGGGATGTCCCATAAAAATTTTTACATTGGATTATCTGACCGAGACCCAAATTGACCAGGTCTATCTTAATTCATCAAACTTAAAATATGTTGATCATGACTCAATATTAATGCAATTTATTTTAATCTATTCAAATTCAATCAAACCAATAACATATTTAACAAATCCATTTTGCAAAATAGTGTCTTGCTAATGTTTCAAGCTTTTTCACAACACCCATTTGATATGAACTCACTTGTCATATTCGAGATTCTAGATCACTTCTTCAAAGCATTATACTTCAGTTGCTATAAATCGAAAAAATGTTATTGTACAATAACTAAGAAGAAAAAAGTCTGAATTACCTAATACCGAACACTGGTTAAACTTTTTTTTAAAAAGTGAAACGTATTAAATGAAGACGATCAAATAGAGAGTCTCGTGAATTTTTTTTATTGGATCATCTAACCGAAGCCCAAATTCACCTAGTTTGTCTTAATCCATTAAACTTTAAACATATTAGATCATGACCCAATATAGTAATTTATTTAAACCCGCCCAAATTCAATCGAACCTTCTATATAAATACCCCTTCCCCTCACCCCCAAACCTCACTCCTCACCCCCACAAAAAAGAAGGGCTTGTAAAAATTTCTTCAAAAAAACCAAAACCAAAACCAAAAAAAATAAAAATAAAAGAGAGGAGGGATTTGTCAAAGGCAACAGAGCAAAGCAACCAAAAGGTACACATACAATATTTGCTATGTACTTTTAAATCTATTTGTATATGACAAAAAAAAAAAAAAAAAAAAAAAACTCATTGATGAGCACCTCCGCTATTAGGGTTAGGGTTTATCCTTTTTCCGGTGGAATTTCAGCTCCGGCGTCTGTCATATATGATCATGTACAGATAACTTCTAGCCATTTAATCTTAAAAAAGACGATTTGATAATGCATTTAACTGAATTTAAGTTTATGTATCTGCTTAATTCTGCTTAAAGTTAGTAACTGCAGTTGTTGATAGCCTAGATCTATCCATTCTGAAATTCGAAATTGAATATGCGTCGAGTTTGTGATAATCATTGTTATTGTTGCACATGTTCAATTTCAGGGTTGAAATTAGGAAAACAGCAATTAGTGTAAGCTGAAAGATGGCTGCATTGGGGGGTGTGAAGAAGGAGGGAGGAAGTGTAACTGAAGAAAAAGGGAAGTTGGTGTTTGGGAGGTACTCTGATGCTGAAATGCTAGCTCTGCTGAAAAGACTTGCTCTGGATCCTTGTGATTCCGTAACACATCAGAAAGCAAAGCCATTATGGAATCAGATGCTAAGAGTGCGAGATGCGATGACTCTTTCTGATAATGACATTTCATGGGTATGTGCCTTTTATGATGTTTCTATAAATATATTTACCTCTATAATGTCTCTTTATTGTCTTGTCCTTGTGGAATTGGTTATAGTCTTGCAGATGTGTATATTTTTCCACTCTTAGAAATAAGGAGACTAAGCTAAACGTCAATGAACTGTATTGGAGTAATGGAGAGAAATAGTTTAAAACAGAACATAGCAATTAGTGTGACTGCAGCTGAAGTATATGGAAATTACTCTAGTCAATGACTTTCATTTAAATGCTATCTGTTGTTATATATAATCAAAAGATAATTATATGGTTCAATTATGTTGCAAATGAAGTAAAATTGTGATTAACATTGAAAAGTTACCAAATTGAGATCAAATACAAGTTGGATTACAGTAGATAATAGATCATTTTGGAACTAGATTTTAGAGTAGATTCAGATTAGCTCTCATCTTGATTTCAGAGTCTCCAAACAAACCCTCAAACTTGGAGTCTAGTTAAGTTGTGTCGCATAAAATTGGATGGACAAAATATTAATTTTAAGCTAAAGAAACAAATATATACTACATACATGTGTATCCCTTTGGCATACTCTGTGTTTCGAGTCTTTTTTCATGACATCATTGCATATGTCATCTGTGTAAGTCTTATTTAGCTTATATCCCATCCAAGATTGAGAGTGTTATTTGTGGCTACATACTGATTTGACGGTAAGGCGACTCCAACTTGTTTAGGATTTGAGGTGTCGTGGTTGTCATTGTACAGATTGGCTGGTTAGCTGGCCATATTGATGAAAATGCTTATTGGACTATCTAGTACTATGAGTTTCAAGTCCATTTGACTGCTTTCTGTAGAATGTAAAACACATCATCTCATTTTCTCCTAGCCCACTGTGCATAAATGATCAGTAGTAGGGAGACTTGATATGCTGCTTCGACAATTCATCATTTCTGCAGGACGTAATAAAATAAACAATATAAAATGAAGTTGATTAATTAGACTTGTAACTATTTATGAAATCTTGATTTGCAAATTAAATTGCCAAATACAGATAGTGGTAGAAAATAATCTGTGAAGAAAAATAGTGTGTTAGTACTGTTATAGTGAGGTACCCCAAATAAAGAAAGTTGTTTCCATTGAGAGCAGTGTAGTCTTTTAAGACTACCAAGTTGTAATATTTCTCACTATATTGGTATTGTATTGCTGTTCTCAAGTGTATTCATTTCTCCATGTTAAAAAGATATGGTGTCCATGTTATTCTCTTATTCTTGTTATGTAACATGGATATTATTATGTGGTGGAATTAGTATTTCCCAACAACGTGGTTATCAGAGCCATAACAAATAATAGTCCACTGTCTTTTCAGTATCCCAATCTCACAAAAGAAAATTATGAGAAATGGTGTGTACGAATGAAAGTCATTCTTGACTTTTAAGATGTGTGGGAAATAGTAAACAAAAGGGTATACTAAACCCACTAATGAGGAAACTCCATCTCCAAATGAAAAGGATGTCTTGACAAAGACAAGAAAGAAGGATCAACAACAACAAGCCATGTCTCTCATCCATCATTGCTTTGATGATGGCATGTTTGAGAAGTTGTCCGATGCAACCACCTCAAAGAAAGCTTAGGAGATTTTAGAAAATTCTCTTCAAGGAGTTGATAAAGTGAAAAAGGTAAAACTTCAAACTCTAAGGGGTGATTTTGAAGTTTTAAAAATGAAAGGAATCATAATACGTTTTGAATTTTTGTTCAAGAGTGATGGTCGATTGTGAATCAATTAAGAAGATATTGGGAGAAAGTAGACGATGTGCTTGTGGTAGAAAAATCCTTCACTCTGTAACACCTAAATTTGATTGTGTGTGTTCTTGAAGAGTCCAAAGATTTAGATTCTATGAAGGTGGAGCAATTGAAAGGTTCTTTACAAGCCCACAAAGAAAAGAACAAAAGGAGAAAAGAAGAACCACTAAAGCAACTTCCTAGAACAAAGTATTCTTCAAAGATTATGGAGGTGAAAAAAGCTATAGAGAAAATGGATGAGGAAGAGGTTGTGGCACTCGTTGAAGAGCAAGAAGCACTAGCAACAGCTTCAACAATGAAGGGAGAGGCCAACAACCATTTAGAGGTCATTGTCATGGACAATGAGGAGGAAAATAATGTGGCTATTATCAACGTACCAGCGAAAAAAGGTACGACAACTCTAAAATTGAGTGCTACAACTGCAATAAATTTTTGGACATTACTCTTGGGAATGTCATAGTAATGTTGAAGGGAAATCTAACGTTGTTGACGACAAGAAAGAAGATGAGTCTAATATTGTTAATGGCCGTAAAAAAAAAGAAAATAAGGATGATTGTTATTCGTGGTATCATGATAATGTGGCAAGCAACCATGTGTGGATGCAAAGACAAGTTTATGGAACTCACTAAGAACATGTTCTTTGGATACACTTCAAAGTCAAATTGAAGGGATAAGTATGATTCTAATTGTCTATAAAGATGGTGGCCACAAATTGATTAATGATGTTTACTATGTGCCAAAAGTAAAGAATAATATTTTGATGTTTGGGAGGTACTCTGATGCAAAATTTTTAGCTCATTTGAAAATACTTGCTATAGATCCTTGTGATTCTGTATCACATCAGAAAGCTCTACCATAATGGAATCAGATGTTAAGAGTGCGAGATGCGATGACTCTTTTTGATAATGACGTTTCATGGGTATGCTCTTTTATGATGTTTCTATAAATATATTTGCCTCTATAATGGCTCTTTATTGTCTTGTCCTTGTAGAGTTGGTTAGTCTTACACATATGTGTATCTTTTTCCACCTTTAGAAATAAGGAGACTAAGCTACACCCCAGTGAACTGTATTGGAGATTTGGAGTAATGGAGAAAAATAGTTTAAAACACAACACATCAATTAGTATGACTGCAATTGAAGTTTATGGGAATTAGTTTAGTCAATGACTTTTGTTTTAGTGTTATATATAATCAAAACATAATAATATAGTTCAGTTATGTTGCTAAATGAAGTTAAATTGTGATTAACATTGAAAAGTTACCAAATTGAGATCAAATACAGGTTGGATTATGGTAGATAATAGATCATTTTGGAAGTAGATTTTAGAGTAGATTCTGATTAGATCTCTTGATTTCAGAGTCTCCAAACAAACCCTCAAACTTGGAGTCTAGTTAAGTTGTGTCACATAAAATTGGATGGACAAAGTATCGCCAAGTAGTTGAATAAGTGAAGAAGGTAAAACTTTAAATTTTAAGGGCTGGTTTGAAGTTTTAAAAATGAAATAATCAGAATCTGTTTTAGATTTTTGTTCAAAAGTGATGGCAGCTGTGAATCAATTTAGAAGATATGGGGAGAGAGTAGACAATGTGCGTGTGGTAGAAAAAGATACTTCGCTCTTTAGCACCTAAATTTGATTATGTGTGCTATTGAAGAGCCTAAAGATTTAGCCTACATGACGGTGGAGCCAATGGAAAGTTCTTTACAGGCTTACGAAGAAAAGAACAAAAGGAGAAAAAAAGAGCCACTAGAGCAACTTCTTAAAACAAAGTATCCTATAAAGATTAAGGAAGTGAAAAAGGACATAACACTCTTGGAAGAGCAAAAAGCATCAACGACGACTTTAACAATGAAGGGTGAAGCCAACAACCATTTAGAGGTCGTGGTCGTAGACAATGAGGAGGAAGATCACGTGGCTATTATCAAGGTACCAACGAAATAAGGCATAACAAATCTAAAATTGAGTGCTATAACTGCCATAAATTTTGGACATTACTCTTGAGAATGTCATGGTAATGTTGAAGATTAAAGCTAATCTTGTTGACGTCAAGAATTCAAGAAAGAAAGAGATGAGTTTAACATTGTTAATGGCCGTCAAAAAAATATACAAGGATGATGTAGTTCATGGTATCGTTATAATAGAGCTAGCAACCATATGCGTGCATGCAAAGACAAGTTCGTGGAACTCACTAAGAAGGCAACGTGCAACGCGTCCTTTGGAGACACTTCAAAGGTACAAATTGAAGGGATAGGTACGATTTTAATCTCTTGTACAGATAGTGGCCACAAATTGATTAACAATGTTACTATGTGCCAAAGTTAGAGAAAAATACTGAGTTTGGGCTAGCTTCTTGAAAAAGGACATGATATGCATCTTTGACTTAGAGATTCAAGTGAAAAATTAATTGCAAAATTGTGTATGACAAGGAATAGATTTTTTTTCTTTGAATCTTTAGACAATTGATGCAAAAGTGGTTGAAGGCTAATTGCAAGATGAATGATGGTGTTGGCACATGCGATTTGGGTACTTGAATTTTGAAGCACACAAATCAATGGAAGAAAAGAACATGGTATATGAGATTCCTTCAATCAACCATTCTAATTAGTTGTGTGAAACTTGTATTCTTGGAAACAAGCAAGGAGGAGTTTTCCGAAAAGGCCACGTCAAGAGCAACCAAGCCATTTCAGCTTGTTCACACGATGTCTGTGGTCCAATCAATCCACCTTCTTTTGACAAAAATAATACATCTTGCTAGAGACTTGGGTTTATTCTTGAAGCAAAAATCCAAAGCATTTGTTGCTTTTAAAAGTTTCAAAGCACTTGTAGAAAAAACGATTATGAAATTAAGCTTTAAGGTCCGATAGAGGAGACAAATTTTCTTAAAAAGAATTTAATGATTTATGTCAGTCTCATGAAATTTGTTGCCTTTCAACGATACCTTACTCACCCCAATAGAATGGAGTTGCAGAGAGGAAGAATAGAACAATTCTTGACAAGGCCAGATGTATGTTGAAAGTTGGAAGCATGCCAAAAGAATTTTGGGCTGAGACTGTTTCTTGTTCTACAACCAAAAATGTTAGAAATCAACCCCCCAAAGAAGTATGGTTTAAAGGAAAGCCAAGTGTCAATACTTTGAGAATCTTTGGGAGCATAGATTATGCTCATCTACCACAACAAGGGAGAGCTAAACTTGACGATCCAAATGTCAAGTATGTTTGTTGGTTATGACACGAGTATATACAACACAAGCAACAACAAGGTGGTGGTGAGTTGTGAAATTGAATTGATGAAGAAGCGACATGGAATTGGGAGGCTCGAGAAGAAAGAACATATGATTTTCTTCCATACTTTGAAGATGACGAAGAACAGGTGACCGTGATGACAATTTGTGTCTTCGCTGTATAGATAGATGCACATCTGCATCTGTAGGTTTGATAAATTTGTCAATACCAATGTATGAGGCTAATACTAATTCTCTTTGCCATGGAAGTAGTTTGATTTAAACTTGTACTCCTAATCATTATGCTTCATGGAGAGGCATTTAGTGAATCATTTACTGTGGATTTTGTATAAATTTCCTTGTAAAATGAACGAATTATAGATGGATGCGCAAGCACATTTTTCAAATGGATTGCTGATGAACTTTAAAACAACTGTATGCAAATTCACATGTACCTTCCTTTCCCTTGAGGGCCCATTAAATTTTGTAAGTTCGTCACCCAGCGCTTGGGACAGAAACGCAAACAGAGCATTGGCTGCATACTTGAACACAAATAGGAACTAGAGCATACTTGAGGGTTCTACCTCCTTTTACCCATTACCCGGGCACATCTTGTGGTATCACTAATCAACAAGATCAATTCCATTTCGTGTTCTTAATGTATCAAAAATCCTTAGTGAAATTTGAAAATCCATGTTCTTGTGGTTGTCTTGACTTCTTTAAGTTTGAAATGGGGTTTCTCTCACTGTTAGCATAGCGGGCCCCCAGTGTGAGGCTCGTATGATGGGCTATTAGCTCAGGCCTCAGTGGTAGATCGCGCCCCTGATAATTGCGTTGTTGTGTCTGGGCTTTGAGGGCTCTCAGCCACATGGATGGTTCAATGTGCTTGCTTCAGGGCAATCCCTGATTTAGTTGGACAATTATATTTTCAGGTGCTCTTTTTCCCATTTTGCTTTAATTCTGTCATACTAATAATAATATATTCTCCTGATTCTTTTGACAGAGGAAAAGAAAACTTCAACAATTTGTCAAAGATCAGTTAAGATCTCCTGGACTTCCAGCAGAAGCAGAAAAATCTAACCAGAAAAGTGCATCAAAACTAAGTAGAAGGCATATTTCTCATGCCTCCAGTATTTCATGCTTACTTGATTCAGGGAAGTCTGCAAAAAGTTCTGGTCAAAAGGTTTTCTTGAGTTCACACAGTGCACGTAGTTCACTAACAGTTGCAGACAATGTTCAAGAGCAGTTATCTTCAGAATTCTCCCTCCACAATGATGCAACAGATTTTGGTCGTAAAGGTTTCTCTTCCTTAGTTGATTCTGATGAGTCAGCAAATGGTTCAGACCTGTTGAGTCGTGTTAACCGGACTCCATCCGTCGCCTCCTTAGAAAACTTGGATGATGCGGTTCATAATTCAAGCTTGTTCTCTGTGAAAGGATCAAGAAGCAGACCTCTACAACTGCCTCGACAATCCTCCAGGTTGTTGAACTTCATTGGTGATCACCTTCAGAGATTTGTTATTCCAGTAGGTCCTCGTTTCCAAGCTGATGTTCCAGACTGGACTGTCCCAGCAGACAAGGATAACTCTGATTATGAAGCCAGTAACTCTGAAAATTCAAGATGGTTAGGCACCCGAGTTTGGCCTACTGAGAACGAAGATTTGGAAGTGTCTTCTAGAGTAATTGGAAAAGGCAGACCTCACACTTGCTCTTGTCGTACTCCGGGAACTGCTGTCTGTGTCAAACGCCACATTTCTGAGGAAAGGCTAATTCTTCAACGTGACCTTGGTCCTGCTTTCTTCAGTTGGAAATTTGATGAAATGGGGGAGCAAGTTTCTAAGGCATGGTCATCAAAGGAAGAATCGACCTTCGAGTCACTGGTCAAAAGGAAACCACAACTAAATGGAAAGAAATTTCTGAAGCAAGCATTAAAGTCATTACCGCATAAGACCAGTAAAACCATTGTCAACTATTACTTCAATGTTTTCATCCCCCGACAGCTGAGCTTACAGAATAGATCATCCAATAAGTCAGTCAATATTAGTGATGATATTGCTGATGACATTAATGATATGTACATGCACAAACGAAGTGAAGGGCAGAAACCTGAGGGTGTGAAAAGTCAATACCTACGTCGGCTAATTTAGTCCCTGGTATCCAATTACAGGTTTGGGATTACTGAAGGATTTGCTTCGTAGCATGATGGTTAACAGCGTTCGTGCTTTCCTCCTCCAGGAATTTTGATGGGAGCGGTCCTTTCAGTACAAGTATGAAACTTTAATTATGTTAATATTAGTCGTTAAAGGTCATTTGTTCAGCCTCTTTTTCGTCTATGGCATTAGTTCTCCATAGATTGAGTAATGGGATGTCCGAAGAGTATTATTCATAAGACTTGGCTGGTATCAAATGTTTTGTGATTATTGGGTTCAATTTCTGCTACTTATGTGATTTACTCCAGCAGTACTATTGAATAGAAGATTATTAGACTTTATTTAAGAATTGAATTTGCTATTTGCCATTGGCTAAACTCCTCTTTTCTTGAACATGTGAATTTAAGTTTGAATTTTATTAAGGTTGATTGGTAAAAAATTATGTAGTCCAAATGGACCCAACCATTGCTTGGTCTTCATCTTTTCATTTCTTTCAACCTCTTTTGCTTTGGTTTTTCCCTCTGGGTTCGTTTTGTACGAGGGATAAGGAATAATCAATCTTGGGATTGATTTTAGTATGAGTTTATCTCATTTTTGATTGGGATAAAAATTGTGAATAACTTATCCTCGGATTAGTTATTTGGGGATTGTAGTGTTATTTCTATCCCACATTGAGGATGGACTAACGATCCCATGATAACTTAACCTAGAATAACTTGTTCTCCAACCAAACAAATCCTTAGTGTCTTCTCATCACAACGATGATGATTTTACATATCGTAGAGGAGCGATGTGGATGAAATGGAAGCTCACATTTGATGTCTTGTATGATAAAAATCTGTCATCGAGGCATAAATGTAAGGCTTATAAAGTGATTTAGACCAACTATGTTGTATGGGTCAGAGTATTGGCCGGTCAAAAGATAAGAGTAACGAAAATGAGAATCTTGGGATGCATTTGTGGGCATACTATAAGATCATGAAAGAAGTTATCCAAGGCAGGTGGAAGTGACCTCTGTAATGGACAAGATGAGGTAGACAAGACTAAGATGATTTGGACATGTGAAAGAGAAGATGCACTGGTGTTTGAGTGAGGAGGTGTGAGAAGTTGACTATAATGGGTGTAAAAAAAATGTAGAGGCAGGTTAAGAAAATCTTGGGGAGAAATGATTAGACAAGACATGACATACTTGCAAGTTATGGAGGACATGACCCTAGATAGAAATATATGAAAGTCGAGAATTATGATAGAAGGTTAGGGGGTAGCCGAGCATTATCTAGTTCCCTTATTAGTGTTATTATCGTTCTCCTATTATCTTATTCTTCAATTTTAGTATTATCGATTGTTTTCTTTGTTTCAGTTATCTCGTATTATCTGTTGTTGATATTGTTCTCTTCTTTATTATTTTTAACATGCCTTCTTCACTATTGTATTTGTTTTACATACTTGATTTTTGATATGTTTTACTTGCACCGAGTGTCTATTGGAAACAATCTCTTTACCTTTACAAGGTAGAGGTAAGGTTGTGCACACACCATTCTCTCCAAACTCCACTAGAAAAATTACACTAAATATATTACTCCTATTATTATTGTTTACCTTCTCATCACCCATTACACTATAATTATTACTACTAGTGTTGTCGATTTTATTTTTAAAAAAAATAAACCACCAATGGATAATATATATTTTTATCCATATTAAATATGAGTCGAGTTGAGCCGAATATTCTATTCATTTTCACCCGACTTATTTTCGATCGAATCATATTTAACTCAACCCGCTCATTTGTCACCCCAAAATGTAGAGAACAAATTGCATATGAATCTCGCGGAGGATTAGATGGAACAACGTGGATTAAAAAAACACTTGTTGAAAGCATGCAAAGTTGAATGGCTACAAGCTAAGCTCAAATAGAATCTGACTTTATACTGGATTCTAATAGCTCTGAGTTTTGAATCTGAAATCTCAAGATTCTCTATCAATTCATTGATCACTAGATTACTCCTTAGGTGCAATGAGTCCAAATATATTGAGGAGCTCCAAACCTATAGTGTTCTATTAATTAACAATACACTACTATGTATACAACTAAAACACATTCACTATCTTACAATTTCAATTTTTTTAAGTAAAACTTCAGGGCATTTCTAGGATAATGAAAAATAACCAAATAAATGTTATTTTAACTTGTGCTTTTATTTGTTTGTTCTAATTATACATGTTATAATATAATGTACTGCAAAAGTAACATGTTTGTTAAATCTTTTCCACACTTGTGAATTTGTTGACTTTGAACTTGTGATAATATGGGTTTTAGTAGTGCTCTTTATAGAGGTACAATTTGATATTTTAATTTGTACAAAAACAGAGGTACAACATATTTTGTGCTGGTCTTCAATTTGATCATGATCCATTCTTAGGTTGTGCAAGTTAAGATAAATGGGTAGGATGATAACTCATAAACTCGATCAAATTATCATAACTATAATATTTATCATGAACTCTCTTTTATGATCTCGAAGCCATAAGAATAAAATAAAAATTCATTTTAAAATAGTGATATGTAAGTCATGATAAATTGATAGGATAGCCTACAAGTTACAAACTCGATCGAATTGTCATGATTTCAAAATTTCACTCATGATACCTCTCTTTGTTATGATTTTAAAGCTATAAAAGGAAGAAAAAAAATTCAAAATGGTGACATACAAGTCATGAAAATTGATTGAATTTTATATTATATTTAATCTAGCTATCTTATTGGATAACTCACAACTTTACCGAATTGACATAGTTTTGTGTTGGTTCAAGTGTTCATCAAATCCTAACGGTTTGACATGACTTTGTGTTTTCTACATTCGACCTATCATGTTATAAATCATTTACAAATACTATCAAAGTGACATTATTTGTCTATTTTTTTTTCAATAATGTGTGTTTTTCAAACTTGTGATTTCAATTTCGATCAAAATCTGCCACAAGCTATCCCAATCACTAATTTAGTCAAATAACACCAAATCAAGAAGACTCACTTTGTCTAAGTACATTAAAATAATTTTATTAACAATAATAAACCATTAACTTTAATTTTCATGCCAAATAAGAATTTCAAACTTCCAAAAGTAAAGAACTAGGGATTTTTTATGAAGAAGATTTGCAGTAGAAGTGTAAAATGAAAGGATAAAAATATCAACAGCAATATACATAAAACTAGTAGTGGCGACTATTATAGGTATTGGAGGCGGCTAATGTTGCCACTAAATCAGTCTTTTAGTGGCGACTGTTATAGGTATTAGCAGCGACAAATGTTGCCACTAAAACATTCTTTTAGTGGCGACTACTATAGGTATTAGCAATCTTGTCCTAAAACAAACTATTAGTGGCGACTAATATAGGTATTGGCGGCGACTAATGTTGCTGCGAAAACAAACTTTTAGTAGCGACTATTGTAAGTATTAGCAGCGACTAATGTTGCCACTAAATAATTCTTTTAGTGGCGACTATTATAGGTATTAGCGGCGATTAATTTTGTCCCTAAAACAAACTATTACTGGCGACTATTATAGGTATTGGCAGCGACTAATGTTGCCACTAAAACAGTCTTTTAGTGGCAACTATTATACGTATTAGCAGCGACGAATGTTGCTCTAAATCATTCTTTTAGTGGCAACTATTATAGGTATTCGCAGCGACGAATGTTGCCACTAAAACATTCTTTTAGTGGCGACTATTATAGGTATTAGCGGCGATTAATCTTGTCACTAAAACAAACTATTAGTGGCGACTATTATGGCTATTGGCAGCGACTAATGTTGCCACTAAAATAGTCTTTTAGTGGCGACTATTATCGGTATTCGCAACGACTTATGTTGCCACTAAAACATTCTTTTACATATATACTAGTAAAATTATCCGCATCTCGCGCGAAAATTTAATGTTATGAAATTTATAAAATAATACTTAAAACTTATTAGTCATTTAAACTAAAACACTACAAAGGAAAATGATAATTATAACATCTTATCATTTATTTTTCAATCAATCATCTTTAATTTGATTTTATAATTTATTATTTTGCTTCCAAGAAGTGTTACTATTTGATATTTTTGAGGAATCAAATGTATCAACCGGTAATATTAAATATTTTAATAAATAAATAATCGTTGGTGAAAAGATAAATAATATGTAAAAGGCTGGAAAAAGTAAACAAATATTCTAATTCTAACGTGTAAAAGTTCAGCCCTACCTTTTACTTTACATATATCATTTTAAATTCTCATTTAAATGTATCATAAGTATATTAAAATGAAAATTAAAGGGAGAATGTATTATATTGGACAACAATTCAACTTATTATATATACTTGAAAAGGAAAAATATTATACAAAACTATTCAGTTTGTTTGGGTATTTTTTAAAAATCAACATACCAGAGTGATGAAGTTTAATTTGAAACTAGACTTCTATTTCAATCACAATGTTGAAAACACATCTATTACTTCAAGAAAAGTATATTTACAACTTGCAGTAAACTTGAGAAATCTGTCTATACTTCATATTGAATATGAGCAATTAATTTATTGTGTCGAAAACACATTTATTACTTCAAGAAAAGTATATTTACAACTTGCAATAAACCTGAGAAATCTGTCCATACTTCATATTGAATATGAGCAATTAATTTATTGTGTAGTTTATCTATTTCTTTGGGATTAAAAGAGGCTGCAGTCTAGTCATATCCTTCTATAGTTCATCCGGCACATTCTTGAACTTATGTCAAAAGTTTATTATTTTTTGTCTTCTTTTCCTAGTTCACTTAGCACATCAAGGTGCGATAAAAATTTTAAGATCTTTATGTGTTTACAATGACATAACAAATTTGAATTTTGTCTTCAAGATATGGTAGTACAGATCTTTAAGGAATTCTTTTACTCTACTTTCAACAATTTTAGTAGAGAAAACTTGCATGAATACTCAATTAACGTGTGTTATTTAATCTGTACTAACAAATACTTATAACAATAACTTTGCAGAAACATAAATAACAAAGTTTAAAAGATATACTCAAAAATAACAATTAATAAAATAAGCATGACTAAAAATGGATGAAATGATCTTGTTTTGTTCCTCGGTTGAAAAGAGATGTCTTGAGCAACTGTAAAAAAAATATCAGGATCTGTAACAATAGAATGAAACAGAAAGGAAAAAATTGAGTCCACTAAATGTATAGTGTACCCTTAAGAAAATTATTCCCCTCTAGTACCCGAGGTTTAAAGGAATAGATCCTCTCAAGATAGGACGATTCTATTCACCAGTGTATTGATACAAAAAACAATGGTGAAGTGAGTCACTCAATAGGAGCAAAGTACACGAATAGTTAATTGTGCAAAAGAAGAAGAAGAAGAAGAAGAAGTAGTTCAGAATTTTC